TGAATGTAGGTCTTCACAAAAACTGATGTAACCAGCGATAGTCTCACATAATTCATCTATACTATTACATGAATCTTTAAAAACATTCCAATTCGTACATTCAAAAGCAATCTCTCAGGCTCTCCCTGTTTTCTTCACTCCAGATGGTGACAACTTTTTTAATTGTCTTTGAAGATTTTAATTTAGGTTTGTACTTCGGTAATAAAAGAGACATGCAATGATCAGAGTTTCCTATTGGAGGTAGAGATATACATTTGTAGGCATTAGAAACATTTACATAACAATGGTCAATAGTTTTGTCCTCACGGGTTGGTACATTAACATACTGGTGGAAAGTGGGGAGGGCAGAAGTTAAAGAGCATTTGTTAAAATCCACTGTGAAAAGATACTGATCACCTGATCTTAGTGATCTAGATAGAACATAATCTGGATGAGATCACTAAGATAAGAGGGAGCTTTGTTATTGACACATTTATGACAGTAAACATACTTTTTTTAGTACTCGAAACAAAACCCTGCTGTATTGGGGTATGTAACAAGTAAAGTGATGATTTGCCAAAAGGTGGGGGTGTTTGCTTAAGGACTTTTTAAACCACTACTCATGGTAAAATATGTTTTCTTCTGAAAACTGTATGCATATGGCAAGGAAATAAGTTGGTCAAGCTGCATGAGCAAGTAGATTGATGTGTGCATCTTGTATATCTACATAGAAAGATAATAGTACTAAAAATAGTGCATTTTTTACTCATCCTGAGTGCACACGTAATTGTATGTTAAATACAGAATATTGTTAATCTTAAACTATCAAACAGAAGTGCATTCAAGCATTGAAAATAGTTTGTATACACCATCATAACAGCGTGTGTCCATTAAAGGAGTTTTATTTTTTTATATTAATGATGTTATTGCTGAGTAAAATTTATAAGTTCGTTCATAACTCGTGTCATAATTACATCATCAGACTTTCCAAGGTCTAGAAAACCCAAATCGTTAAACCTATCATCCCGGGGAATGACCGGTATTAAACATTGGTTTGACATTGATCCATCAGAAGGGTAACTTTCCGCTCCATCGCATGGTTTTGCTTAAATATGACTTTGATTGAGATAATCCAGGTTTGTCATAACGATGTTATGAACAAACACTTTATGTTATTTCTGCAAAATATCATGTGAGGGACTTCACACTGTTTCACAACATCCTTTTACATGGTGGAATGAACATGGAAGAGTATCGTGCTGATGACTCAAAAGAGAAGCGAAGAAGAGGCAAAAATATGCTTGTCATAATGGATTGTCATCATGTTATGAACGTGACAGTGTGTCATAATGGTTATGAACGAAACCTTATTCCATATAATTTACAGTTGTTTTGGGATGTATTTTTAATTTTTAATCCTCAACTTGAGGATGTATTAGACCTTGCTTCCATTCTGATATTTTGATTTTTATCATAAGTGTATGGGTCTGGATTTTAATTAGTATTTTACTTTTGTAGTAATGGTTATGAACGAACTACATATGGTACTCTGAGGGCTTTCCAGAGTTGATAAACATTAAAAACATGTACACAGATACATATTATGATGAAACTTTCATTTAATATAAAATTTTTAAAGTAAATGACAGGTCAAAATATTAATTTTTAGGTCAAAACTGAAGTATGTCATAATAGTTATGAACGAACAATTAAAGGTATTGTAAGGGTTTTTCAGTGATTAAACTTTGAATTCTTCAAACATATAACCTTATTTTGAGGAGAGTCTCATAAATTAAAACAATTTTATGTGAATGACAAAACAATAAGTTAATTTTTTGGGCCCAAAGTAAAATTTGTAATAATAGTTATGAATGAAACAGTGTGTCATAACGGTTATGAACGAAACCTTATTCCTTGTAATTTACAGTTGTTTTGGGGATGTATTTTTAATTTTAACCCAACTAAAGGACAGAATAGACCTTGCATACATTCTGATATTTTGATTTTTATCATAAGTGTATGGGTGTGGATTTTAATTAGTATTATACTTTTGTAGTAATGGTTATGAACGAACTATTTATTGTCCATTTTATATATTTTGAGGGCTTTTCAGTGTTAACAAACTTTAAAAACATGTACAGAGATACATATTATGAGGAGAGTTTCATTTAATAAAAGTTTTAAAAAATGAATGACAGATCAAAATGAGTAAATTTTTAGGTCAAAATTGAAGTTTGTCATAACTGGTATGAACGAACCATTTTAAAGGTATTCTAAGGGTTTTTCAGGAAATAAACTTTGAATTCTCCCTACATAGAGGAATCTATCATATTTTAAGGAAAGTCTCATAAATGAAAACCGTTTTATGTGAAAGACAGAACAATATAAGTAAATTTTAGGGGCCAAAAGTAAAATTTGTCATTATAGTTATGAACGAAACAGTGTGTTTGCGTTTAAAAATAGCTGTTCAATGGTCTTTCATTTATCACTTGACTATAATTAAACCAGTGTTATTTCAGACAATTCTAGTCGACGAAACTTGATATAATTGAAAGTATTTTGGTCACTTATTGTTCGTTAACTATTATGACACAAAAAAGTAATTTTACCAAAAATTAATAAAGATTTTTATAAATTGTCAATTCTATATATTTTTGGAAGTTATTTGCTCTGTCTCAAAATATAACATCAGCCTAGCTGAAGAAAGGAACTCTTGAGTATTCATAAATTTGTGTCATCATTGTTATGAACGAACTTTTTGCTATTTCCGTCATTACACCAGAATTACACCAAGACCATTGCATATACAGCTTTGGCAGTTACTGAGCCTGAAAGAGCAATCATTAGGCTATATAATATGGGTGATTAAAGAATTATTACATAAAGTTGATTTTGGACCTCATTTGTCACACCCCGGTATCCCACCTTTTGGCAATAATAATGCATGTGAAATAAGGGTATACTTTTGTACCACATTTTTCAGAAAGATTGCTCATATTATAGGCGAGTATATATGTGATGGTTAGTTCAATAAATGCTGCAATTTTACAATTAATTATGATAAGTAATAACACGTTATTATTATTATTGTTAATATTACTATCACTATTATCATTATTATTTTCTTCTTCGTGTTCCCCTGCTATCATATGTCAGGAATAGACTACTGCTGGTTCTTCAAGACTTACACTTTTCCAAATTCATCACACGTAATTACTCGAAAACTTTTTTTCCATCCACAGGGCTATCAGGTGGGCTTCCTATCTCAGTATCTGAAATTGTATAGACAAGCATCAAATATAAATCCTTGTCTGTTTATATATATATAAAGAAACAAACGTACATTGACGCAATAATTGTTATTTAGTGCTTGGAAAAAGTAAGACAGACAGACAGACAAAAACAACTGAGGGAAAGCTAGTAAAGAAATAAGACCTACAATGGCGCCCTCCAACCACCCGCTATTAATCCTCCAACAGATCTGTGATTTAAAATGAACATATTAATAATAATAATAGATAGCATTTGTATAGCGCAAATTCCCGCTCAACAGCAAGCTATATGCGCTTTACAACCTACATTATTACCTCAGCAGACCTGATAGCATTCTGAAACAATCTCAACTTCATGGGGAACACACACAGCACAAACTGCCATTTTACAGGCGCTAAAACACTAACACACTGGCAAAAAAGAGAACTAGGTACATAAACATGAACTTCTGCAATTGATTCCTTCAGAATAAGCCCAGATCTGCTCAAAAACTCGAAAGTGACATGAAACATGCATTGTCTATATAATTTTTGCATGCTACATAAGATATAAAAACAATGACAACCAAAATATGAACTACATAAAATTTAATACTAACTGCACAAATGGTCCACTTTTTTAATGTAAAGCATAAATAAACAAATATATACTTTTATTTACTTAATCATCAAACTCGGCCCACTGTGAATGCAACCTGATGCAACAATTGGATCCACCTGCCTCCTCTCCCCCTCCCCCAACCCCTTTCTTTCCCTTCAATCACATTGCACGCCTCCTCCAAAGGTGCTAGAACTACACATCATGTACTATCTACTTATCTTTTTCTTGCATTACAGTCTCTGTCATGGCATAGAACCCACCCAACACAGTTCCATTACTCTTCTTCTATCGCTACATGTGAGTACTCATTCTGTTCAAAACTCCAGGCCTTAGCTCTTTATCTCCAGAGGGTGTGTTCCCCACAATACCAGGGCGCTCCTTTGGTAAAAAACCTTAAAGTGACTTATACGTTGCTAAATCGATGATTAAATCAAAACAAGTGAACCTATTTTGACAGTTATCTAATGAAAGAACCCTCGGTAAAAGAAACCTGTTTTCGGCAATTGTCAAAAACTAATATAAAGTTGAAATCGTCTTAAAGGAATGTCCGAGCCGCTGCCAGCAGCCCAAAGGCACAGCCATCCCGACCACGGGAACAGCTTGCCGGAGATAAAGAGTTAATAATAGGGCCTGTTGACAGAAAAGCTCCGTTTAAACACTAAACTAATAGTATTCTCACTTTCATTTGATTTTGATCCTCCTCTCAGAAAAAATTCTTTGACTAATCATAATTTTTACATCTGAGATTCAAGTGAAACAAACCGACAGAACAGAGAGAATGGAACAATCACATCAGTTTGAGAAAAGCTTCGTCTTTACCACATACATGCATGTTGGAACCTCTGAAAACTGCAATAGAATACACACAAAGCACATACTGAGGATTACCCTAGATTTTGAGTTAACCAAGCTGAAATTTGTGTGCTATGGCATACCAGTGAAAACTGGCATTTAAGGAACATTAGTCTACAAGGTCAATGGGTGGAAAAGTTTCCATCAAATGAATTAAAACAATTTCACTTACCCAAGACTTCCAAATCAGCGACTTTGTGCAAAATAATTTCGTCATATCCTGTACCACTTTTCTGACTCTGTGCACCGTCTTCATCATCAAGGGCTCCTGCTCCTAAACAATAAAACAACATGGTTTGACTATGAGAAATTAAGTGCAAAAACTTACAAGCACAGGCATGAGAATACAGTCACTCAGGATCGAGAAAGTACGTTGAGTTAAAGGGTGAACATGTTTCACGGCTGTTAGGAAGAAGTGCTTTAGTTCAAAAGCCGCCAGTGCCCCGCATCTTGTAATCTGACCTCAGTCACAGGGTCAGGTACACGCGGTCAAAGGAATTCCCCTAGTCCCCCTCACAGCAGTGGTCACTTAATTTCAACGGAAAATAAACTCACAAAATACGCTGATCGGTTATATTTTTGTCATTTTATTTTGTCCATTAGGAACAAGAAAACCCCCCGGGGCAGTGCCACTGACTAAAGTGTCTTTAGACCATTCCCAAAGGGGGGACATATACCTCGTTCAAGTAGAATTGTAAATGGGCTGACTCATGTCACGCTCATAACTGTGCCTGATCTACAACAGGGAACTGCTGCTTTTTCTTTCCTGATCCTTACTATTGTCATTTTCCTCTACTTCTTTTGTATGTTTGTCACTCCCTTGTGACCTGCTATTTTGGGGTTCCTTGATAGTTGAAGCAGACCTTGTGCTGTTGAAGCTAGAGAGGTGAGCAGTCTAAGTCTAATTCCATGTAAAGACTTCTCTGTTGAGACCCACCCCTTGGCGCTCATATGACCTTATGCAGTTGTGAGCGCCATAAAACCCTCTACTATTTTTTTTAAAAAAGGAACAAGAAGAAACTTTTGTACTTACTGAGAAAAAAGTACATTTGTATGAAATACCGATAAGTAATTATAGTGTTCCAAAAATGGCTCAAATTTCAACAAAGCCCTTGACGGTGTACATTTTCAAATTAAAATTGATTAAATTGTAATAAAACCAAGCCAACGAAATTCTCAAAATTAACATTACAATACACCACAACTGGTTAAGTTTTAAAACTCACTTTGTTGTTTTTGTGCGAAGTCCACGGTTTTGGAGTTAAGGGTTACAGCATTTGATTCCTGATCTCATGGTCTTAATAGTCTCCAAAAATGTCAGATACAAGTTTGTAATTCTAAGGTAGCAAAGTATCAATGCTTTTTCTTTGCCAGAGGCACGCTTGATATGATTTCTAGACCTAAACGAAGGTGCCGGGACTATATCACTACTTTCAACTTTATTACGTGTATCCCAGCTCCTCTTCTCTCTAGTTTAGCAACAGAACAATGGAAGAGTTCACGGCGTTGTTTGCAATATAGCGCCAAATCAAACCCACATGGTGTTTTGGAAGTACTTTTTCACCAAAATGTCTCCAGTATAATGACATGTATGTTCATGGCTTACTGTGTATGTTACAAATCATGCATGTCTCGTCAATGTATGGAAGTCTGTCTTTCGGCACTGGTTGCATGAAATGTGGATAATACAAAGGGGGTTCAATAAGTCTGGTCTGGGGATGAAGGAATCATAATATTAAAGTAACTAAATTTTTCCAGTCTTTAGACAATTTCTTTGGAATAAACTATTCAAATTTTCAGGAAAATACAACTATAATAAGCCACTAGTCAGCGTGTTCATTGAAACCATGCACAAAACCGTTTGTTTTTCTTTGCTAAAGCTGTGCCATGGAGCCTGTTGAGTATTGCTCATTTATCGAGTTTTTACACTTGCAAGGAAAATCCCATTCGGACATTTTTTAGGAAATGGTCCAAGTTAATGGTGACAAATGTTCACGTTATAATACTGTGACATACTGGGTAAGAACATTTTTTTAATTCATGCCGGTGATGGATGAAAATTGTGAAGGGTGCCCATCCTTTGCAGTAACTGAAGAGAATGTATCCATAGTGAAGAAACTGGTTCTATAAGACGGACATTTAACTGTTAAACAAGTGAAAGGAGAATTAGTGTAGGGTCAAATGAAACGATTCTCCATGACCATCCAAACAAGAATAAGCTGTCTGCGTAGTGGGTGGCCCACCCTTTGACAAGAGGGCAAAAGAACCAGAGGTTGAGTCCTGAAAAACTCTCCTTCGAATTGAGTCCCCTGACACAAATTTCTTTAAAAACACAGAGACTATGGATGAAATATGGATTTATCATTTTGATTCAGAACAAAAAATGTCTTCAAAGCAATGGAAACCCCCTTCTTCTCCCTAAGCAAAGAAGGCAAGGGTAACACTGTCAAGTGGAAAGGTCATGCTGTTGTGTTTCTGGGATTGTGAAGGTACAGTGGAACTCGATTCAACGAGGTCACCGGGCCTGACCTAAAATCTCATTGAATCCGAGTGTTCGTTATAGCAAACACGAAGTTTTGTGTAGATAATTACAGGCACGGAGCAAGTAATGTATAAAGAGAAGTCACAAGTAGTGCCTGAAATGCCTGCATATTATGAGCTGTGTAAAAAAAAAAAGACCAAATCGTTTAAATGCACACGACTGCGTCATCTCTATTGTTTATCAAAAAGTTGTGTTGCTGTGTAGAGCCTAGCATACGGCAACTTTTCATTCCATAGACCAGCGCACAATTCATTATGTAGATCTACATCAATACTAGCTTATCATTGTAATAATGATCCGTTACCGAGGTGAAAAAAAGACTGTGACGTGTTTGTATCTGCGACATTCAACGCCTGGACAGCCAGTGCCCCCCTCCCCGACACGCACACACAGTCACACGTGTGCAGGCCGCCCATCCGACTCCAACACACATCAGAGTAGACACGTCCGCGTGCCAACAACGCATGTGTTGGTATGAAAAAAGGCTGCTGATTGGTCATATGCAATCGGCTAAGTGAACAGTGGAACTCGGATTCAACGAGGTCGCCGGGCCTGACCTAAAATCTCGTTGAATCCAAGTCTTCGTTATAGCAAACATGAGGTTTTGTGCTGATAATTACAGGCACTGAGCAAGTAATGTATAAAGAGAAGTCACAAGTAGTGGCTGAAATGCCTGCATATTATGAGCTGTGTAAAAAAAAGACAGTCAAATGCACACACCTGTTTCATCTCGATTGTTTACCAAAAAGTTGTGTTGCTGTGTAGAGCCTAGCATACGGCAACTTTTGATTCCATAGACCAGCGCACAATTTATTACGTAGATCTACATCAAGACTAGCTTATCATTGTAATAATGATCAGTTGCTGAGGGGAAAAAAACGACGGTGACGTCTTTGTATCTGCGACGTTCAACACTGGACCGTTAGTGCCCCCACCCCCCTCCCCGACACGCACACACAGCCACACGCGTGCAGGCCGCCCATACGACCCCGACACACGTCAGAGTAGACATGTGAGCGTGTTGAAAACGCATGTGTTTGTATGAAAAAATGCCGTTGATTGGTCCCACCCAATCGACTAAGCGAATAATTGTTCTCGATGCAGGTGCAATGGATGGTTTCCAGGAATAGATAAAGTTCGTTGAGGGAGAAAAATGAGCGAAGCCACGTCTGCAGGGGCTGTTCACCCTGGAAGCGACCTCGTTGTATCCGAGCTCGCTGATTTAAGTGCTCGTTGAATCCAGGTTATTTTTTATTGATTTTAAAGAAGAAAAAAACGGGGAATCTATCTCATCTCGTTGAATCCGAGTTCTCATTGAATCCGAGCTCGTTGAATCCGAGTTCCACTGTATCATCATGACTGACTACCTGGAAAATGGAAAAACAGTCACAGGAGACTACTACTTGGGTTTGCTGATAAATTACGTCCGAAATGGTGAGGAAAAGGCGTGGAAAACTCCGTAATGGGGTCCTCCTACTGCATGACAACACCCCTGCACACGGGGCACAACAAGCAGTCAAGACAGCAGACCAGTGCGGCTTTGAAATCCTGCAATACCCATCTTATTCACCAGACCTAGCCCCCTCAGACTTTTTTCTGTTTCCTAATATTAAAAAATCACTTAAATGCTGATCTCTCTCTTTTTAACGCATGGAGTTGATATGGTGATGCGGCAAGTACGGAACTTACGGAACGTACAGATTTCCGCAAAAACAAAGAAGATTGGAAGCACTGCAGAATTGTTTGGGTTTTTTTTCTTCTTTCGGCATCCATCGCAAATCCGGTAGTTTTGACACCTTTATCGATATGGTGGTAGAACAGGCCCTATATCGGTATCTACCGGAAAAATCTGTACATTTAGGCAGCCCTGTTATTTGATTAAATAAATGTTTCATTGTGGGGGCTATCTAGTATTTCTTTAACCAAAATGCAGTGCAGTGCAGCGAGGTCTCTGTACCGGTAAACACGATTCGTGATATATTTGTGGCAGTAATATATATATATATTAAATATATCACGAATCGTGTTTACCGGTTTTCAATTTTTCAGTACATAAAAACATGAAAATCATGAAACTTCATGTTGAAAAAGTGCAAAACATGTCGCGAACGGTGTTACGGTAACTTGCATAATTTTTGCATAATTTTGCTTTTTGTGTGCATAATTTGGCCTTTTAAATTTGCATAATTCTACGGGGACAGCGATAGGGCCAGTCCTAGGGCTAAAGGGTTCATGCTGTGGCTCAGATAATCAGTTTTCTTTGTGTTAATTTCAAGTTAGCTTTTTCATCCTCCCTAAGATTCCTATTCTTGCCAAATAAAGTACTTTTTTTATGTTTCTGGACTTGTCCAGATGGTTGTTGTCGGGTGCTCTAGTGTAGTTTCCTCCAATCAAACATCTGTCTTCCTTACCTCTCCTTCTTTTCTTTGTATGTTACTCTCTTGTACCACCTAGTAAGTCATCAGAGCTTATACAACCTATTTAGGTTGAAAGTGTTGTAAACCTCTTACTAAAACTAACACTAATCTATTTTGTTAGCGTGAACGGTGTTCGTTGAATGCACTGTTTGTGAGTCTGTACACTGAAGGCCAAGAGAATGTTTAAGGCAAATTTAGAGTACTGCAGAGACCGCCTTCTCTGTTCCGCCACCACAAGTTCCGAAAGGTTCCCGCAGATTTTGAATGACAATCATCTCTCTTTCTCCATTTCTTTACCAGACTACCAATTAAAAA